TCTTGGTTCTCTGGGACGGGAGCATCACCTAGCGGTCCTTCTAGGACATATTGTTTCTTGGCAGCTATGAGGATGATCCTCAGGTTCCGGACCCAGTCCGTATAGTTGCTGCCATCATCTTTCAGCTTGGTTTTCTCTAGGAACGCGTTGAAGTTCATGTTGACATGAGCGTTGGCCATTTGATCTACAAGACATATTTGCAAAGGTTTTAGACTAAGTTCATGATAATTAAGTTCTAATCAAATTATGAACTCCCACTTAGATTAGACATCCCTCTAGTCATCTAAGTGTTTACACGATCCGAGTCGACTAGGCCGTGTCCGATCATCACATGAGACGGACTAGTCATCGTCGGTGAACATTCTCATGTTGATCGTATCTTCCATACGACTCGTGTTCGACCTTTCGGTCTCCGTGTTCCGAGGCCATGTCTGCACATGCTAGGCTCGTCAAGTTAACCCTAAGTGTTTTCGCTGTGTAAAACTGTCTTACACCCGTTGTATGTGAACGTAAGAATCCATCACACCCGATCATCACGTGGTGCTTAGAAGCGACGAACTGTAGCAACGGTGCACAGTTAGGGGAGAACACTTCTTGAAATTTTTGTAAGGGATCATCTTATTTACTACCGTCGTCCGAAGTAAACAAGATGCATAAACATAATAAACATCACATGCAATTATATAGTTGTGACATGATATGGCCAATATCATATAGCTCCATTGATCTCCATCTTCGGGGCTCCATGATCATCTTGTCACCGGCTTGACACCATGATCTCCATCATCATGATCTCCATCATCGTGTCTTCATGAAGTTGTCACGCCAACGACTACTTCTACTTCTATGACTAACGCGTTTAGCAATGAAGTAAAGTAAGTTACATGGCGTTCTTCAATGACACGCAGGTCATACAAAATAAAGACAACTCCTATGGCTCCTGCCGGTTGTCATACTCATCGACATGCAAGTCGTGAATCCTATTACAAAGAACATGATCTCATACATCACAATTCATCATTCGTCACAACTTCTGGCCATATCACATCACTTGATCAATCGCTGCAAAAACAAGTTAGACGTCCTCTAATTGTTGTTGCATCTTTTACGTGGCTGCAATTGGGTTCTAGCAAGAACGTTTTCTTACCTACGAATAACCACAACGTGATTTTGTCAACTTCTATTTATCCTTCATAAGGGCCCTTTTCATCGAATCCGCTCCAACTAAAGTGGGAGAGACAGACACCCGCCAGCCACCTTATGCAACTAGTGCATGTTAGTCAGTGGAACCGGTCTCACGTAAGCGTACGTGTAAGGTTGGTCCGGGCCGCTTCATCCCACAATACCGCCGAAGCAAGAAAAGACTAGTAGAGGCAAGTAAGATGACAAGATCCACGCCCACAACAAAATTGTGTTCTACTCGTGCAAAGAGAACTACGCATAGACCTAGCTCTGATACCACTGTTGGGGAACGTTGCAGAAAATTAAAATTTTTCCTACGGTTTCACCAAGATCCATCTATGAGTTCATCTAAGCAACGAGTCAAGGGAGAGAGTTTGCATCTACATACCACTTGTAGATCACGAGCGGAAGCTTGCCAAGGAGATGGTGATGATGGAGTCATACTCGAACGTGATTCGGATCACCGATGTCCTAGTGCTGAACGGACAGCACCTCCGCGTTCAACACACGTACGGGACGGGAGACGTCTCCTCCGTCTTGATCCAGCAAGGAGGAAGGAGAGGTTGAGGAAGGCAGCTCCAACGGCAGCACGACGGCGTGGTGCAGTTGACGCGGCATTATTCCGACAGGGCTTCGCCAAGCACGTACGGAGGAGGAGATGTGTTGGGGAGGGGAGGGGCTGCGCCTTGAGTTATGGTCTATTGCAGCCCTCCCCTCACCCCTCTATATATAGGGGAAAGGGCAAGGGGGGCCGGCCCTCTAGGGAAAACCCTAGGGGGGGGGGGGCGGCCAAGGGGTGGGGGGCTTGCCCCCCAAGCAAAGGGGGTGCGCCCCCTTTAGGGTTTCCCCCCCACCCCTAGGCGCATGGGCCCAAGGAGGGGGGCGCGCCAAGCCCACTAGGGGCTGGCTGCTATCCCCACACAGCCCAAGTGGCCCCCCGGGAGGGGTGGCCCCTCCCGGTGGACCGCCGGAACCCTTCCGGTGGTCCCGGTACAATACCGGTATAACCCCGAAACTTTCCGGTGCCCGTTTAACAACTTCCCATATATAAAACTTTACCTCCGGACCATTCCGGAACTCCTCGTGACGTCCGGGATCTCATCCGGGACTCCGAACAACATTCGATAGTCACATACTAGTCTTCCTAATAACCCTAGCGTCACCGAACCTTAAGTGTGTAGACCCTACGGGCTCGGGAGACATGCAGACATGACCGAGACCACTCTCGGGCAATAACCAACAGCGGGGTCTGGATACCCATGTTGGCTCCCACACGCTCCTCGATGATTTCATCGGTTGAACCACGATGTCGAGGATTCGATCAAACCCTGTATACAATTCCCTTTGTCAATCGGTACGTTACTTGCCCGAGACTCGATCGTCGGTATCCCAATACCTTGTTCAGTCTCGTTACCGGCAAGTCACTTTACTCGTACCGTAATGCATGATCCCGTGGCCAACACATTGGTCACCTTGAGCTCATTATGATGATGCATTACCGAGTGGGCCCAGAGATACCTCTCCGTCATACGGAGTGACAAATCCCAGTCTCGATCCGCATAAAACAATAGATACTTTCGGAGATACCTGTAGTGCACCTTTATGGTCACCCAGTTACGTTGTGACGTTTGATACACTCAAAGCACCCCTACGGTATCCAGGAGTTACACGCTCTCATGGTCGAAGGAAGAGATACTTGACATTGGCAAAGCTCTAGCAAACGAACTACACGATCTTTGTGCTATGCTTAGGATTGGGTCTTGTTCATCACATCATTCTCCTAATGATGTGATCCCGTTATCAACGACGTCCAATGTCCATAGCCAGGAAACCATGACTATCTGTTGATCACAACGAGCTAGTCAAATAGAGGCTCACTAGGGACATATTGTGGTCTATGTATTCACACGTGTATTATGATTTCCGGATAATACAGTTATAGCATGAATAAAAGACAATTATCATGAACAATGAAATATAATAATACTTTTATTATTGCCTTTAGGACATATTTCCAACATATATAGCCTAGATACAAACCGACTCAGATCAGCACGCAGGCCATACTACGTGCAGGATTTACCAACCCCTGCGCGACTTGTGGTGCAACCGATTTTGTTGCCGCAATTGTTTTGGTCTTGTACTTCCGTTTTCCTTTTCCAAACGTACACAGCTGGCCTATCGATATTCTGTGAAACAGCACCAACAAATCTGCCGCATGTAGTCTCCTTCCTTTTAATTCTCCAGGTTGTCCACGTCCCCTTATCTCTCCGAACGCATGCATGGTACTATTTTGCATTTCGGTTAGGAAACAAATTCCTTTCAGGTTTTGTACGTGCATGCACTTGTATGGACTCATCACATCTAGCAATTCTCTCATAATAAACATTAGCTCCTCCTTTGTGTATTATTGGCAGAAAGCCGAGACCACATAGGGTGTGTTTGGTTGCATTCTCATCTCAGCATAGTTGTTTCCTCTTCGTGCATGCTCATTTCAACACCCCTTTTCATGCATGCTCTCCTCATGCATGCTCCTAGTGTATTTGTGTTGAGCTAGTGTGGACTCATGTACCCTTTATACACTCTACCAAACACACAAAAGTGGGTCGAGAAGGAAACTTTTACTCTCATGCACCCTTCATGCACCCTACCAAACACACCCATAATATACGCAAGTGCCCATCTCTTCCTTTGCGCCTAAGATGTGTCATTTTCTCTATAATTTTATGATCCTTGTCTTGGTTAACTAACTTCCTCACATCGACCTTGTCAACTTGCACTGTAGTCATCTCATCCCTAATATCCTCAGTTTGCATCCCTTTGTCGACGACCGCCATAGTCGCCTGTAGTCCCTTGTCATTGACCGGTGTATTCACCGTGACTTGTATACCGGGCATGTTTGTGGTAGGGTATGCTTCATCAAGTACCCATTTTCTCAACGTTGCCTCGGCGGCGGAGGAGGACAATAATGGGTGGCGTTTTGGTGTGGCACAAAATTCTGCCAAAGTGAAATCATAGTTTTACTTATTGCAAAGTGTCTGATGCAATACTGCAGGACATCTATGTATGTATATCTCTTGTGATGATCATATATGTATTTTTTTTAATATGTTTGTCTAATGAAATATACGATATTACTAATTAAAAAATATATCATTTGAAACATTTCATCTCCATAAACCATAATGTATTGGCGTATGGTCAGTAGTTGGATCTGTGCACGCGCATATCCTATGGTCGAGAAAAGTTCGCCGACGCCACCACGATCGGACTCCTCACCGTGTACTTGCCGGTGTCGTCCACCCATGTCAACGATCCATACAACACTACCTCGGGGATTATCTGGTCGTCCCCAACCCGAACCACTACCGTGTACCTTTGCTTCTCGTGCTTCCCGCTAAACACCAGCCTGCTGGGCACGACGCTCACCTTCACCCCGTCCAGTCCCTCCACTGTGGCGCTGTACCTCGCCGCCCCGTCGTCCACGTTGGTCACGGCCCTGGCGAACGTCTTCTCTCCGCCGTTGTAGTCGAAGAAGGCGATGAACGACGGATAGTTGAGATCAAGAGTCGCGCCGGCGCAGTCCACGGCCCCCGACGACTGCGCCACAGTCTTGATCTGCGCCGTCGTGAAGTTCATGGCACACATGAGCTTAATGTAGTCGTTCGGCCCTGCGTCGTAGACCAGGCCCGGGTCCAGGGAGCGGTTCGGGTCGATGTGGCCGGACACCATCGCGAGCGGATCGGCTGCGTACTCGATGCCGTCGGCCCTGTCCTTGATGGGAGCCAAGGTGTTGTCCACCGCGCTAGCCGTCGTCATCATCGCCGACCGCACTGCCGCGGGGCTCCATTCCGGGTGCACGGCCTTGAGCAGCGCCGCCACGCCTGACGCGTGTGGCCGTGTGGGCACGACATGGACGTGCCGGAGATGACGTTGAACTTGCTGAACAGCGGCGACTGCGTCCCTGCGTCGGTGACGATGGCGAGGATGAGCGAGCCGGGCGCGAGCAGGTCGGGCTTGAGCACCGTGGGGCAGCTCCGCGATGGGCCGCGCGACGAGTAGGTCGCCACCTGCGGCGCAGGCTTCGTGTCCACCACGGTCACCGCGAACTTGATGGAGGCCTTGGGCGTGCGGCTCCTCTGGATGTAGTGCAGCAGCGCGTGGGCGCCCTGCGGCTTCAGGATCACGCCCGGAAATGGGAAGTTCTCGTATAGCTCCCTCAACGTGTCGTTGGACAGGAACAGCCCTGCGCGCACCTTGGCGGCTTTCACCGCCGATATCGCGGGGGTCAGGGCGTCGATGTACGGCACGTCGCAGACGACGACCTTGCCGCGGTTCGCTGCGAGCGCCGTGTCGTTGTCGCACAGGCCGAGGAACACGAGCCCGGCGTTTCCGAGTCTGTGTGGGGTTCCGGCGTACAGCGATTCGCCAACCAAGGTCGTGCCCTCGCCGAGCCGGACGACGGCAGAGAACTCCCGGTCCACCGTGCCCGCCGCGACGGTGAGCACCCACGGCGAGCCGTTCCGAAGGTACCCGGGATCCGGCCCGTCGTTACCGGCCGAGGTTGACATGAAGACGCCGCGCTGCATGGCCGCGAATGCGCCAATAGCGACGGGGTCTTCGTGTAACTGCCGGCCGTTGAAGCCAAGGGAGAGGGAGAGCACGTCGACGCCGTCGGCGATGGCCTGGTCCATGGCGGCGAGTATGTCGGAAGCGTACGCGCCGTCCTCCCACAGGGCCTTGTACACCGCCACTCTGGCGCGGGGCGCCATGCCGCGAGCGACGCCTTGCCCGTAGCCGAAGAAGGACGCGCCCGACACGGGCGAGCCGGCCGCCGTGGATGACGTGTGCGTGCCGTGGCCTTCCGAGTCTCGCGGGGAGTCGACTGCGATGGTCACATTGGAGTTGGCGATGAGGCCCTTGTTGAACTTGCGCGCGCCGACGAGCTTCCGGTTGCACGCCTTGGCCGCGTCGAACGCCGGGCCGGACTCGCAGAAGCCCTTCCACCGTGCCGGCACCGGGGGGAGCCCGTCGTCGCTGAAGCTCGCGCTCTCGGGCCACACGCCCGTGTCCACCACGCCGATGATCATGTTCTCGCCGTACTCGGACGCCTCCCATATTCCCCCGGTCGCGCCGACACCGAGGCCGAGGAACTCGGGCGTGTGCGTCGTGTCGCGCACCGCCCTGGCGTCGTCGCGGTAGCACGACACGAACCCCGGGGAGCGTCGGAGCCTGTCAAGCTCATCCGCGGAGAGCCGCGAAGCGAAGCCGTGCATAGCGTGGTTGTAGACGTAGAACATGTCCGCTCCCGGGGCGGCTGCGGCGAGCGTGGACTCATACCAGCGCAGGTGGCTCGAGAACACCCCCGGCATGGCCGACTTGTCCATGTGCACAATGTAGGACGCCGCCGCCACAGTATCGGCCGACGCCGCCGCGGCCGGATGCAAGTAGAGCGCGACCAGCACCAGCGCCGCCCATGGCCACATTGTGCGACGTACGATACGTAAGTAGAGCGCCGGCAACGGTGGAGTACGACCGCCGGCGTCGTAACGGGTGACGCGGCTCGGGCGTGGGTATGTACGTGTATGGCCAGTGCTCTTGGAGTCGGACTCATTCGGTGGTTGCCTAGTCTGTTTTTGGACAGGCCACTGGTAGCCAAGCCAGCGGCATGGGCCTCGTCGTGTACCACAGGGAAAGAGCATTTTGGCGAATGCTTACAAGCGTATGATAGGGGATCATGCAGCTACCATTAAGCATTTTGTTAGTCGATTTTGCTCGAAATGGTTCGGGCACGCACAACAACTAGAATACTAGATACATGTAGTAGAATGTTGAAGTTCATCACTGGCAAGCGTAGTGTCAGGCCGACAAGTTACCATTTTAAGAGACCAAACTCCAGTGGACAAGTTGAGCATGGAGTTATAGACATGGCAGGGATACGCATCTGTCATCCTTTGTAGCCGCCGCCTCCTCCTTCTCCTCCACAAAAAGCTAGGGTTTTTGCCTCCCGCCGCCGCCGTCGCAGGTCCGCCTCCTCTTCGATGGCCTTAGGGCCATGGAGGCGCAGTGGATCTCGGTAAGGGTCGGTGGGAGGGCTCCGTTTTTAATCGCTTCTTTCAGTTTTGCTAGGGTTTGTGTTCTGTTCAGGAAGACGAGACGGCGGCGGCTCCCTGAAGATGGAATAAAGGTCTCCCCGCCTAGCCCCCGTTCCGGCGATGCGTCTAGCATCGTTGGTGGGCGTGTGGAGGTGTGTCTCCGGCGGATCTATCTTTGGTGGATTTGTTCGGATCTCGTCGTTGTTCGTCTACGTTCGTGCGTCTTCGGATTGGATTTTTCTGATCTATGTTATTCTTCATCTGCGGCGGTTGCTGTTCTGGTGCGCTGGTCCTACAGGGCCTTAGCACGACGACTTCCCGGTTGTCTACTACAACAAGTTGTGCCCGACACCGGCGATGGAGGGGCGATGACGGCGGCGCGCCTTCGGCTCGCTTCAGTGCTAGTAGTTGTCGCTAGGTGGTCTACGGATCTGAATGTAATTTCTATTATTTCTGATATTCGGTGTACTGCCATGATTGAAGATCAATAGATCGGAAATTTTCTCGCAAAAAAAAAAGTTGATCAGTTGGAGCAGAGGAGTTCCGGTGCGAGAAAACCCCAACGTGATCTGTCTATTGAACTATTTGAGGTATGTCACGGAGCTCCGAAACAATCGGATAGCGGTGCATGGCTATCCAACACAAATGGATACATCCATACGACCATACATAGTTCTCATTATTTCCCATTTGCAGCCATGCATTTGATGCATGTTAATCTGTTGAAAACCCACTCGTGCAACTACATACTCCCTCCGTCCTAAAACAAGTGACATAAGACGAACCATGCAAGTCTCTTGGGAACACTTCAGCAGGGCAACCATCACCGTCGTCTATCCTTTGCCAAGCCTCAGAGCATCTCCAAAAGACGCACAAAAGTTTCGCACGCTAAAATAGTTTTAGCGCGCTACTGTAGCACTTTTAGCGCGCCGGACCCAACATTAGTTTAGCAGATGTCCAAAAACACGCGCCCAAAAAAACAAGCAGTGCAAATTGTGAAGCGCGCGAAATCCGGCGCCCTAAATTGGCAGCTTTTGATAGCGCTTTTTAGCGCGTGGATAATTTTTTTTTTGCGCGTGTACTATTTTACAGCTTCTGCTGAAGCTGTCCGGGCGTTTAAAAAAACTGAACTTTAACGCGCGGAGCAGTTTTTGTGCGCCGGTTGGAGATACTCTCAGTAGGGCACCTTTGGTCTCGACGACGACGGCCTGGCCGCTCTTTTGTTCCTTTGCATGCACCAAGATATATCGTTCTCACGGTGCACAGGCCGGTTAGTGAGTAGCCAGTGGCGACTACGTCCTGCTGTAAAGCTTGAGCCGTTGAGCGTCTGCGAATCGCGCGTCCGCGGCCCATCGACGAACCCTCGTCGGCGAAGATGGGTCGTCGAATTGTGCCAGGCCTTGAAAGCGCGCGTGCGTTCCACCCGCCGCACGCACACCCCGATGGTCGATGCATGCTTCGTGCCATGGTGTTAGTTTCCACTTTCCACTAGGCCGCGTCTATGCGAGACCCAATCGCGGCGCCTTGTCGTTCTTCTGTCGCGCTATGTGTTGCCACACTACTCCATACTAGATCATCGATGATGCGCGTTGCTGCGTCCGTCCTTTTTCTAAGAGATTGATAGTAATTCTCACAAATATATGGAGGTAATAAAGGCAGTTCATCTTTCTATTATTTCAAAAATAACAATGTAGCCATTCAATTTATTTTGAAGCAACAATACACATATTTGGGAGACATATATGGTCAGTGTGAAATTGATAAACATGGCACAAATTTCTCCAATACTTGCTGCATCATAATGGTAAGTGTGCTACCGGCATCAGATGGAACAAACTGAATCTTCAAAAACAACAAAATCCGAAGGAAATCATTTAATAAACAAACTATAATTGTTTGGTGCAAGCTATAATAAAATAAAAAAGAAGATATAAAGCAATTTGACAATAAATTAGCATATATCCGACTAAAACTTTCTTGGGTCATAACAATAAGCAGCCCCACGTCATTCTTCTGCTGGATACATGTTCCACTGTAGGCATTATCACCACCTTAATCGTGCATTAAGGTCAACTTGCTCTGAAATAACCAGAATACGCCATCTATATTGTATGCATGAAAGGTAGCTTCCAAACAACCAATTTATTGAAGTGTAAGTCTTGTTTTTGTGTTACAAACATTCGAGTTATAAATCTGTAGGGGTGACATTTTGCCGTAAACCATTCTTACTTAAAAAAGGGATAAAATGAAATCTAGTAGATCCATGGCCACGCTAAAGAATAAATAGGCATTGGTAATGGGAGTGAGATCCTCTAGTGTAAATGGGAAATATAACGCAGGAAGTAAAACCAAATTCCAACTTGATCGTGGCCTCAACACCCTTCAGTATCGGTGAAGCAAACACGTAAACAATATTTCTATTAAAGTACAAAGGAGCACTGCTATATAAAATAGGAGGAACAATTGAAAAGTTTGTATCCACACAAGTTAAATTGAATAAAGTTTTTTAAACGTCTCTCCAATCTATGGAAATTAGACAGCTAGGTGTAGAGCCTTCTTTATGATGGACTTGTTTCAAATTACCATCTATTTACTTTTTTTATTTCAAGGAAATATATCTTTGTAGATCTTAGAATGGACATCAACTATTGTGAAAAGCCGGAATGGTTGCTTTGTGATGTCTATGATTCTAAGAAGCCAAGTGGTTGTGTTGTGTTATAAGTTATAACCGCAGACAAAAAAAAAACACTTACAGTTCATACACAGGTCTAGTGGACACCTCAAGAACGACTATAGTGTAAATCAACTCCGATACTTCTCAAATGAACAAAGGAGCTCAGGTGTTCACATTTAAAAACAAATGTACTGATATTCTTCTTTCCTTGAATTTTACCTTTGCTTTTTGGAAAGGATGTATACTTCCAAGATAACTCGATGTGTATGCTGCGAAGATAGGACCAATAAAGAGTACCAGAACATGAAAGTCACTGTTGGATAGTGATATATAGTTTCCCTTGATAAACATTAAAAAATAACACTTTTCATATATGTTGCTGGTGCAATATAATAAACATAACTTGGTACCTGATTCATAACAAGGTTGACTAAATTCAGTGTTGTTAGCATCGGCAATAATGTACTGACTTTTAATATGCCTCCACCAGAATAATGATCCCACAACAAAGAAACAGACCCTAATGCAAACTGTCGTAGAATCAAATGCAATTGTTGTTTCATGGCGTTTATTAGTAAAAATGATACTATTTGCATATTGATATTTGATTCAAAATTTTGAGCTAACTGAACGCCGGTATAACTCCCAATCAAGTAACATACCTAATGTATAGCATTTTGCGATACATCCAAGAAGGGTATTCTAACCGTTCCCCATTATTCTGCACTGATGCACAAGCCACAAGAGATGCCCCTCCCAATAAACATCCTTACAATGGTACCTTGGCAGTGTTAATGGTGTGCTTAGACCAGATTAACTTAGAGAATCTGTATAGACCAATTTACTTTACATCAATGTTGGAAATCAATTCAACAAACAGTAGAATTCTACAAGAGAAGTAGCAGTGGCTGTATATACAGCAAGTACTTACCTCCAGGTCACCAGAATCACTATGGGATGTTACAAATGAACTGGACGTGATGGAGATGCCACTGACCATTGGGGGATTCTTTGCTCACTGACTTTGTTCAGTAGTCCATGGATGCCTCTGCTTGGACTTGAGCTCCTCTGATGGCTTGAGGGATTCAGAAAGAGAGAAAATGAGAGAGCAACATCAATATCAATGTGTCGATGCCATGGTGGTCTTTGATCCATCCTTTTGCACATTTTGACTCGCAAGTGCAGTAACGATTTGATCATTAAAAGATTCGGCAGAGAAACAATTAACATGATTGGTGAAGCAATTTTTCTTGTGTAAATCAAACATGATAATAGTATTGCACTCAATTTCATGATCAGTTGAAAAGATAAATAGTTAGTGTGATATCCGGTACCTCACTTTGGCTGCTCGCGTATTACATATGGAGTTGCAACAACTCAGTCGTAAACAAGGGCATGGCCTAATATATTCATACTAGATCATTGATGGCGCGCGTTGCCGCGCCCGTCCATTTTGAAAGTTAGATGGTAATGTTAAAAGATTATGTAAAGTCATACAGTTGTAATATTGTATTGATAGTGTAAGGTGTTAATAATAATAGACCGTGATGGCATCCATCCACTTGTCCAATAAATGAATGCAAATTTTATTGTTCATTGATTTTGAATTGATACAAAATTTTGCAATATGTAGCATAAAGGAAATGACTAAAGCAAATATTGATCTTAATCAAATAAGTGCATTTTAATCATATACAGCGGCTGCTTCTTGAACCTA